GCTCGGGAAGGGCGAAAAAAGGGGCCTATTGGAAGTTTGGAAAGGCCAGAAAAGGGCCTGTTTCCGGCCTCCAGAGGCCTGGGACCTGAGGAGGCCATTTTCACCCTCCCAGAGGCTCAAGGAGAGCCTCTGAAGCTCGGGGAGGGCAAAATTCCCTCCCACCATAGTGCAGGAGGCAGACTAGGCCATGCCCACCATGGCCATGCTCACCCAGCAACCAGGCAGAGAACCCCTTTCTAAAATTTTTGAAGCCCATCCCTGCTACCTGGATATGAGATGTACTGAAACCTTGATTTACAGATCAGAATGGTGGGATTCACATATCCACAGAGATCCAAAACTACATGATAATTTTGTGTAATATGTAAAGCTAGAAATGAAGTACCATAGCAGTTATAGAAAATGGAGAAGAGCATCAACTGCTCCATGTGATGATGCTCAACCAGGGGTGAAATCCAGCAGATTCTGACAGGTAGCGGAAATTTTGAGTAGTTCAGAGAACCGGCAAATACCACCTCTGGCTGGTCCCAGAGTGGGGTATGAATGGAGATTTTGCAATATCCTTCCCCTGGAGTGGGGTGGGAATGGGGATTTTGCAATATCCTTCCCCTGCTACGCGCAGCAAGCCACGCCCACCAAGCCACACCACGCCCACCAAATCACGCCCACAGAACCGGTAGTAAAAAAAATGGGATTTTACTATTGTGCTCAACTCAGATGGTAATGCCTTTTTTAATGTATGAAAGTTAACGAACTGAGGTTGTACAAATCCAGGCAATCATAGCAACAAAGAGTCTAGCCCAGATCCTGTGCTCCTTTACTCACATCTGAACAGTAAAATGTTCAGATAACATTTGCTGTAATTACAGAAGTCAAAGCAGCTTTTATGTATCTGGAGAGTAGCCATAAAAGTGATTGGATATACATACTGCAGGAAGACACATTCGTTTTAACATTTTTTTTGTTGAATAAGCCTTTATCACAATTCCCTCATTCATTAATTACTATTTGCTGATGTGCTGAGCTATTGGAATAAACAGAGTGAAAGTAATACATGAAATGCTGTATTTGCTTCTAAATTGTTTAATTTAGAGTATATTTTATAACTGATGGATGGACCTCAGTATTTTGAGATATCAAATTCTATCCTATATTTAATTCATTGGAACATTGGCCTGTCTTTGAGCACAGACACATCTTTTTGCACTTATAGTTCTCAACTGCATCAAATATTACAATAAAAAGTTTGTTTTATTTCTTGAGATCACATGACCCGTACAGCTTGGGAAAGAGAAAAATCCTCAGGTTCTCCGTGGTATCCATTTACTTTGTTTGTTTTATAAAGGTATGCCTATGAATTCAAAAAGCTATGTGCCATTGTATTACACTTTTTTTGTGTGGCAAACATTTGTCTTTAAAAGTAAATCAGAGACTAGGCTCTTTATTTGCACATTGCAATTTACAGCTGGAAGCCATGCAACCATCTGAAATAGTCCATGTTGTTTTCATTTTCTTAAAGCAAATACATTTTTTTTTTTTGTGGAGCTAAATTAACTTCAGCAAAGGAGCAGACCATTACAGAATAGCAGGCTCCCCTCACCACATTTTTTTCATATGTGCTTTCATCTCTTGTGATTTTCCTCTCTCTGTTAGGTCAACCAATCTAGAAAGTGAAAAAGAAAATGAGACTCAGAATTATACTAGTTTTGTCTCATAAATTTTGAGAACGAAATAGGAAGGCACTTGATTATGGCAATTTGAGAAATCAACAGTACAGTCTTATGCATATCAACCTAGAAATTAGCTCAATTGAATACAGAGATTTACTTCAGAGTAAATATACATTGGATTGCTCTGAAAATTGCTGACTTTCATTATATTGTGTTTTTTTTTTAAAAGAGAGACCCAAAGGGATTTGGAAAAGTATTAAAATGTTCTTGATTGTTCATTCCTTAATATTCAGATGTGTATATTTTAAGAAAATAGTATGGTTTTCTTAAAATACTAGTAAGGCCACAAAGACTCTATGTGCTTTATACACCAGGCCAATTGTCTGTTTTACTTACCATCAACATTAGCAATATACAAGTTTGTTGTTAAAAGCTGGATAGTGTTTAAATTGAACTATAGTATAGGGCGTTAATATGAGAGTTTTGGGGAAAGATGCAGTCTTCTTTGATTATAAAAATAAATTATGTACTACTCTTTTTGCATCACTCTCTTGAATATTTTATATAGCCATGGTTCTGAATCAGCAATCATTAGTTCATAACTTGATTAAACTATATTATATTGAATTAAAGTTTCATTATATTATGAACTCTTTGTTATAAGATCAACACTGGAGTTGTTATAATAGTTCATACGGCATCATAATATCTGTACATTATTTATTATGTAAATCAAGCAAACTACAAACAGTGCAAAATAGCACAATGTATTCCTTATGGTGGGAGTTACAATATGGAGCTACAATCAATAGGGCAAATCCATGTGGTAAAGAGCTAACAAACATCACTATGACGTGAGTTGATACCTCATTAAAAACAGTTTGTTAACGACTTCCATGTGGGAACAATGAATATAATATGAAGTAAGAAGCATCTCTTTATGTGCTGGATGTTTTGAAGTGGTTTATATAATGCCTAACCAAGTTTCTAATTGGTCTAAAAAAATAGGAGAGAAATAGCAAAACAAGCAAAGAAGTATGAGCAAGTTATGTCGTCTTTTAGAGACATTTGAAATATAGGAGAAATAGAAAAATACAAGCATCAACAAACCTTCTCGCATATTTATTATGTTTACTATTATTTTATTTTATTCATAACATTTATTAGCTGCCCATCTTACCATAGGGTAACTCTGGGCGGGTTACAGTCATAAAAGCACATATACAATTAAAAAATAAGTAAATGAAAATCAAACTTTAAAATCTAAGGACATGTGGAGGGGCAGGGGCAGAGTGGAAGGAGTGGGATCTGTTGTTATTTGATCAGCCATCTCCACTGTGCTGTTCCCCCACTGGGGCCTCAAGCTGGCTAGCAGAGCCCCGTCTTTAGGCCCTTACGAAAGGATAGGAGGGTTGGGACCAACCTCACATGCGGGGGAGGGCAAGATGTTGCAGAGGGTAAGAGCAACAGCAAAGAAGGCCCTCCTCGTGAACCCTGCCAGCTGGAATAATCAGGCTGATGGGACCCGCAGCATGCCTCCTCCTCTGGCATAAGTGGGCTGGGTCACCCCCAGTGGGATGAGATGGTCCCTCAAGTTATATTATTCCTTCCTTCAAGACTCATTTTTTATTATTTAATTTTTTTAGGCTGCTTGAATCACAGCTATGACTGATGAATACTGCACCTCTGTAAACAAAGGATAAAGCAATAAACAATAATAATCAATATCCCAATGCACCACAAAAACAGTATTGTCATTTGCAACCCGCTGTTATCTCCATTCCAATCCCCAAAAGCTTTTTGAAACAGTCAATTCTTGATGGCTTTCCTAAAGACTTGGCGTGGGTCTAACATAGCATGAGTTATATTTTCTTTTTTTTTTTTTTAGCATGATATTAAAATTTTTAGGTTTTGAATGAGGTATTGCTATTCTTTTTCATCTTTTTCAAAAATCCTCTTGAAATCAGTAATCACTACTGCAGCAAGATTAAACTGGGTTGGGGGCAGAATGAACTGTTTATAGTTACAAAGATGTGTCAATATAATGCATGGAAAAGAAATGACTGCATATTATATGTGTTTTAAGAACAGCATTGATTAGTTAATGGATAGGCTCAGATTTTAAACCATCCTGTAGTAAGAAGATATTGAGCAAAGCTCCACTATGGACAAAGGAAGTGTTGGATTTTACATTAAGGATGTCGATCTGAGTTTTTCTAAGGCTTTCAAACTGTCCTTTCATTCTCCAGTGTATTATTAATGCTTACTCTGTCTTCAAATAAGGCATGTCTATTTTCCAAGCTTTAGAAACATTTTTATTAGATTTGTCAATTAATGAGAAGAGGAATGAAGAAGAAAAAAAAATAGGATGAGAAGAGATCATCCCTAGCAGTGGCAGTAAGGTAGATAAGTAAATATATCTATAGATATATAATATGTATCTCTATAGAAAAGACATTATTACAATGATTGGTCCATAAACCAGATGGGCAACATTCATTTTTGTCTATTATATTTGTCGATTATATCTGAATGGTAGCACAGCCTAGCCTGCTGCGGTACCTTTCAAATGCATTGGAATTCATTCCTAGAATGGTCATGCTGGCTACAGATCTAGGAGTTGAAATCTAACCATCTAAAAAAGGGAAAATTGGTTTAGTAAAAGTAGCAAACCCAGATAAATTTCCAAATTTCCACCACAAACTTAAAACAAGAGCAATATCTGGGAAAGATTGCTATATGCCTTGTGCAATTTTTGTTGGAAAGTGGTACTTCGAAGGCTCAGCAGGTGACAACACTTGGCTGTCCTTGATTAGGGTTAAAAGCTAAACATAGTGGATGAGAAACCATCAGGGAAGTTCAGGGCCATAGCCTAGACTAAGAAGCTAAAAGAAAATGCCTGAAAGCAGTAATGATAAATGACTTCTGTACAGTTGCTAGGAAAGCTGTACAAGGGTCTGCCTGTAAGTCATCAAGGGCTGAAGTTGAATTGAAGGTGTCTACTTTATTGAAGCACTTTGAAAGAAAAGCAATTATTATTTAAGTAAATGCTATAATTCTCCTGGTCAAACAGGGTGAAAGAAATCCACTTTAGATTATCTTGTTCAGCTGATTACTATATGTGTCTTTATGTGAGGAAAAAGAGAGGTCATTTGTGCTGAAAGTCTTGACAAATGGAAGGTTGTTTGTTCTCACTTAGGACAGTGGGAAGGCAGTGCCAAATGGGAAGACAAGATGAGAAGTGCCAGATGTCAAAAAAGTGAAATTTCATGATGAATGGAAAGCTCAAATGCTAGGGAAGAGGTGTAGAGTTCGCTTTATTTTTATTAGCATTCCCAGCATCTCTCAGCAAGAAGACACTTCTGAGGAAACAACAAAAGGCAGCTTAAAGGAATGATATTCTGAAATGAGGATGCAGAGAAGACATTTGGTAAATGTTTATGTATCTGTTTATTGTTGTTTTTACTACTTGTTATTGTTCCTCCTGGGAGGGAATACTTTGTTTTGTCAAGTTGGAAAACCTAATGCTAATGTGGGTTAATTATGGTTGTAAGATTAGCAGCGACTATTCTGAGGCAAATTATTTAAGGACAAAATTATAGGATAGCATCAAACTAGTCAGTCAGCCAAACTGTATTTCAGTGAAAGACTGGTGTAGAACAAACAAATTAAGACATTGTTTAAAAGGAGGAGATAAAAAACTGAAGCTAAAAGAATGATACTGAATATTATTGCCACTGTTGTTACTACTTTAAACTACATTGGTAGGGCCAAAAAAACCAATAAAACAAAATAAAAAACCCCACAACCAGAATATTATTTGTCTAAAACAAAAGTATAAAGCTAAAAAAAACTACTATAAATGTTGATTAAAATAAAATAGAATGAAATGACATCTATCAATGTAGTATTGTTCAGAAGTTAGACAGAGTTATATTATATTGAGGTAAGGGAATTGGTCTGCTGAAATGTTATCTTGCCAGAAAAGTTTGACAATATGCAGAGAGGTAGAGACTCTTTGATCAGAAAATAGAACTTGTCCATTGAAAATATCAGAGTAACTTGGTATTTTACCAGGTCGGGAAATAAAACAGCTTCTAATATCTTTATAAAAGCAGGAATACAGTTTAATGTGGGCAAGAAAGTCTATGCACCCACACCACATGCATATAATTGGTCAACATATGGAAATTTGTATAAATCTGGCTTCCACAATGGCTAAAGAATTAAATCAAGCCAGCATCAAAGCCATTCTCAATTTGAATATAGTCTAAATATATAAGATTGGCTGTTCAGGAAAACATTCCTGGGTAGTAAATGCTTCTTGTCTTTCCATTTGCAGAACAATTTGTGTTAAAAATTTTTTTAGATGTTTCATGTCCCAGAGAAAGGAGAGCTTGTTATGAAAAGTCATAAAAGAACAATTCATCAAGATGATATTGTTTCCATCTGGAACTAAAATTGTCTATTAATGTTAGAGGGAGGCAGTACTATGGGCTGACTCAAACTAGCCTTTATCCATCTATCAGTTTGTTTTCTTGTTTGAGTGTGCTAACTTTTAAGTCAAGTAGCTATAAGGATGGATGGACATCAAACCTGGGATCCTTGGACAACTGCCTAGAGCCCTAGACTCCAATGAGCCTCATTCACGTAATTTCCAGTACTGTGTGGACAAAAAATCCACCAAGTAGGACACCAAAGCAGGAACTGTGTGTGACTTTAGAACTTTGCCTGTCTTCCTCCAGACAGTTATGTCTGCTTCTTTTTCAAATCCCATTTTGGCATCTCTCAAATTAAATGTAGAATAAAGACAGACAATGGAAAGACACCACAACAAAAATAGCCCCAGAGTTGAGAGATGTAGCTCTTGCCATAATTATTGACTAGCTAGGCCATATAAGGGTTGAAAAACGAAGCATGCTTGGTGACCAGTATTTCATTTCAAGGAGAGAAGTAAGGAGAAGGGAAGGGAAAATACTGGTTACCAAATAAATGAATAAAAAGCAAATTTGTTATTTTGGGGGCTCTTTAATAAGCAAAAGCAGGATAGCTATATCAAAAGTAGTGAAATGACAATAATGTCATTTCAGAAATATCTACTTGTTGAAGTAGATATATTCAGATATGGTTCCTTTTCTTCCACAGAGAAAATAGTGCTGTGGATTTATGCTACTCTTGTCTACTTTCTTGATAGTCTGAGAGAAGTTGGTGTCAAAAAAATAGAGGGGGGTAATGGGTGTGAAAGTAATTCAGGAAATCAAGTGCTAATGAAAAGAACAAATGTCTTGGATGGCTGGGGTGGAGGCTGACTAGGGACCAGAGGGGAAAGGATATGTCTTTGTCTTCTGGTACTCCCAAAACACATTTCTTGTCACACAGCAGTTTAGTTGCTTTCAAAATAATACATAGCAAAACTTCATAGATTTTACATACCTTAAAATTTTGGTAGAATCATTGTCAGGGGATAAAGTGGAAAAAGACTGCCTTGACCCTGGTATACTAGGGGCAATTTCAGACTAGTTAAAGCACAGGCTGGTGATGAGAGGATGGCAAGATCATTACCTAAGTAAATAGTGGGATTGTCAGGGCATGACCCTATCATGTAAACATTAGATGAGCCCAGAGCCTAGGAATGGGTGGCTAAATCTTCTGGCCTTAGAAATCTCAGGTACTGGGAAATATATATAATTATATATTTACCTTAAATAGAATAGAATTTTTTATTGGCCAAATATGATTGGACACACAAGGAATTTGTCTTGGTGCATATGCTCTCAGTGTACAAAGGAAAAGATACGTTCATCAAGAATCATAAGGTACAACACTTAATAATAGTCATAGGGTACAAATAAGCAATCAGGAAACAATATCAATATAAATTGTAAGGATACCAGCAACAAAGTTACAGACATACAGTCATAAATGGAAGGAGATGGGTGGTGGGAACGATAAGAAGATTAATAGTAGTGCAGACTTAGTAAATAGTTTGACAGTGTTGAGGGAATTATTTGTTTAGCAGAGTGATGGCGTTCGGGAAAAAACTGTTCTTGTGTCTAGTTGTTCTGGTGTGCAGTGCTCTATAGCGTCGTTTTGAGGGTAGGAGTTGAAACAGTTTATGCCCAGGATGTGAGGGGTTTGTAAATATTTTCACAGCCCTCTTTTTGACTCATGCAGTATACAGGTCCTAAACCCAACTTTTTTACATGAAATAATATTCTGCTAAGATACAAAATCCCGGAAGGGTATGGCTAGCTAATGGTCATTGGCATCCTTCAGTTTCAAGAGACTACGGTATCGTGCTCTGGAAAGACGTCCTAAAACAGCATCTAGTGTGACTAAAAAGGCCAATTCGAGACTGGCAATCCCTTCCACACTGAGGGCAGATACATTCTGTCCCCTGCCCAGCCCCCAGATTTCGCTGGTTTCGGGACTGCCTCTTTGCCTCAGCCGGCCGAACAAGTGTCTCATCGAATTGGAGAAGGCCATGCTGCGTCTTTAGCCTCCAAGCTGAACGATCGGAGGTCAAGGTTTCCCAGTTGTTAATGTTCATTCCCAGGGCCTTTAGGTCCCTCTTGCAGATATCCTTATATCGCAGCTGTGGTCTCCCTCTGAGGCGTTTTCACTGCACTAATTCTCCATACAGGAGATCTTTCGGAATCCGACCATCAGCCATTCTCATGACATGCCCCAGCCAGTGTAGACATCGCTGTTTCAATAGTATATACATGCTAGAAATTCCAGCATGTTCCAAGACTGCACTATTTGGAACTTTGTCCTGCCAGGTGATGCCAAGAATTCGTCAGAGACAGCGCATATGAAAGGTGTTCAACTTTCTCTCCTGCCGTGCGTAAAGGGTCCAAGACTCACTGCAGTACAAGAGTGTGCTCAGGACTCAGGCTCTATAGACCTGAATCCTTGTATGTTCCGTATGTACCGGCCAGCTAATGAGAGCTATAAATAGCTTAAAATAGATCTATACTAGTCTCACTTTATTTCTTTGTCGCAATAGTGACTGCCTGTGAAGGCTCCTGGATTGGGGCTGAAAGGCGAAAGTGGAAGCAGTATGCTCCATCCCATGATTGGGTAGACCAGGTTATCCTGATAAAAGACACATTTTAAATTTGATTTTTTAAAACTTTTAATTTGTAAACTTATAACCTTGTTTTTAACTTTCATTTTTATTATGATTTTAGTTCCATGTTTATATTATTTTATAATGATGTTTATAAACCACCCAGAGCCAGGTGAGAATGGTAGTAGAAATCTGATAAATAAATAAGCAACCTTGTAGTTGTCCCAGACACAAAGGACACTGGGAAATGGTCACATCCTGATTTCTGAGATGGAGGGGCATACAGAGTATTACAGAGTATTACAAAAATCATGGAGAGCCAGTTGAGGATGATGCCACTAGAGATGGACTCCTCATTCTTTTCTGCCTCTTCAGAGATGGAAGGATTAAAGAATGCTGAATTTGTCAAATTTCTTTTAGAACTTCATTTCTTTAGAACTTCCAAAGAAGGGAAAGTAATTTAATGGCACAATACAATTGGCTGGATTGGCTTTCCAAAGAGTCTGAAGACTACTTAATTGGATGGTGGTGTTTATGTGATATCTAGTTAAGTCAGTTGTAAAAAAAAAAAAATCAAAGAAAAATAAGCTGGATTTCATGCTACAGAAATGCAATGCACAATATTTTTTTCCTGGAAAAGAAAAAAAATATTCTTAAAATCAAAAGCAGCACCAGCACAAGGGGAAGATTTCTAAATGAACAAAGCCATATGCGCTTGCTTTACAGTCCTCCACTGGTTATTAAGGACTCTGCAGGTTACATTCACACTTAACTACAACAACATACCAAGAGGGGACATAGCTGGCAAAATGTAGAAGACAATTTTACATAAATTTTGTAGGTCAGCACAATAAAACCTTTACTTTTACTAAAGAACAGAGATCTTCTTCTTCCAATATTCATTCCTGTTCTGCTGGCTCTGGATTTTCTCAGTGTGATAAAATAAGTTGCCCATCGGCAGAAACAAGTGATCACAGGTGGTGTTTTTCCCCCTGAAAAAGTCTGTCCCATTTCAATTTGACAAGTGCTTCTGGCATTTGAAAGGAACAAGCAAAATCCCTGTACTGAGATAATCTAGGATTAGAGAGAAGTGTTTCAAGCAGGTACCAGAGGCAGACAGAACGAATTTGGGTTAAGCCCACAGCCAATGTAACTTTTAAAGGTGTGTACAAATGGAGACACACACACACATAAGTCTGAAGCATTATCTCTGACCTATAGTTAATATTGTATTTTCAATTCAGTGTGTTTACTGGTTCTAATAGGTACAAGACAAAATATCAAACTGCCATCAAGTATATTATCTGTCATTATGATTTTCATAAGATGAAAATCAAGAGAGTCTAGAACTGAATAGT